TGAACGAGGATTCCGACAACAGCAGCCAGTGGTGCCTGCCCTTCCCACACGGCAGCTCCTGTAACCCCCAGCCCCGGCGTGGAGGGGAAACTGAGGCAGAGCTCGGCGCTCTGCGGGCGGCCGGCGTGCCCGCCGCCGTGGCAGTGACGGGAGGACCTGAGACGGGCGGCCGGTCCCCACGCACCGGAGGTGGGGCTGCCTCTCGGGGAGCCCGTCCCCCTGGGTGTCCGCAGGGATGGCGCCCGGACCGTTATCAGGTCGGGTCTGTCCTCCGGCCGCCTCTTGTCTGCGGAGGCCTGGGGGAGTGGATCTGTCCTCACGGGGGCTGCAGGCCACACGCCCCTCCGGCCACACGCCCCTCCCCCACACACCCCTCCCCACATACCCCTCCCCCACACCCCCCTCCCGCCTCCCTCCACACCCCCTCCCACACACACCCCTCCGGCCACACGCCCCTCCCCCACACCCCCCTCCCTCCACACACCCCCTCCCCCACACCCCCCTCCAGCCACACGCCCCCTCCCACCTCCCTCCACACCGTCTCCCCCACACGCCCCCTCCCACCTCCCTCCACACGCCCCTCCCCCACACGCCCCTCCCCCACACGCCCCTCCCCCACACGCCCCTCCCCACACACACCCCTCCCTCCACACACCCCCTCCCCCACACCCCCCTCCCGCCACACGCCCCTCCCCCACACACCCCTCCCGTCACACGCCCCTCCCCCACACACCCCTCCGGCCACACGCCCCCTCCCACCTCCCTCCACACCCCCTCCCCCCACACCCCCCTCCGGCCACACGCCCCTCCCCCACACACCCCTCCGGCCACACGCCCCCTCCCACCTCCCTCCACACCCCCTCCCCCACACGCCCCCTCCCGCCACACGCCCCTCCCCCACACGCCCCCTCCCCCACACACCCCTCCGGCCACACGCCCCTCCCCCACACACCCCTCCGGCCACACCCCCCTCCCCCACACCCCCCTCCCGGCCACACCTCCCAGGAGCAGCCTCAGGTCTCCCCGCAGGAGCTCGCTCAGGTGGGAGCCCAGCCCACCACCTGCAGGCGCCGGTGTCTTCCCCACTGACTAAGGGGCCGGCCTCACTCCCTGTGGGTCCTTCCGGTCCCAGGAAGTCTGCGGGGCCTCGGCGGGTCCTGGCCTCGGCCGGCCATCCCGTTGCTCCCTCAGGGCCCTCCTACCCCTGCCCAGGTCCCTCCACCACATTCTGATTCCTCCAACCCCCTCCCTCCTCCCTGCACACAGTCCTCCCTGCTAGTCACTCCCTCCTCCTCCCCTCAGGTCTGAGTGCCCCCTCTCCTCCCCCGACCTCCCTCCCCCCGTCCTCCCTCCCCCCGACCTCCCTCCCCCTGACCTCCCTCCCCCCTGACCTCCTGCCCCCTGACCTCCCTGTCCCCCGACCTCCCTGCCCCCTGACCTCCCTCCCCCCACCTCCCTGCCCCCTGACCTCCCTCCCCCCGACCTCCCTCCCCCGTCCTCCCTCCCCCCATCCTCCCTCCCCCCGACCTCCCTCCCCCCTGACCTCCCTCCCCCCGTCCTCCCTCCCATCCTCCCTGCCCCTGACCTCCCTGCCCCTGACCTCCCTCCCCCGACCTCCCTCCCCCCGACCTCCCTCCCCCCGACCGACCTCCCCCCTGACCTCCCTCCCCCTGACCTCCCTCCCCCCTGACCTCAGCTCCCCGACATCCCCCCTGACCTCAGCTCCCCGACCTCCCCCCTGACCTCCCTCCCCCTGACCTCCCTGCCCCTGTCCTCCCTCCCGTTCTCCCTCCCCCTGACCTCCCTCCCCCCTGACCTCAGCTCCCCGACCTCCCCCCTGACTTCCCTCCCCCTGACCTCCCTCCCCCCTGACCTCACCTCCCCGACCTCCCTCTCCCATGACCTCCCTCCCCCTGACCTCCCTCCCCCCTGACCTCAGCTCCCCGACCTCCCCCCTGACTTCCGTCCCCCTGACCTCCCTGCCCGTCCTCCCTCCCGTCCTCCCTCCCCCATGACCTCCCTCCCCCTGACCTCCCTCCCCCTGACCTCCCTGCCCCTGTCCTCCCTCCCGTCCTCCCTCCCCCTGACCTCCCTCCCCCCTGACCTCAGCTCCCCGACCTCCCCCCTGACTTCCCTCCCCCTGACCTCCCTCCCCCCTGACCTCCCTCGCCCCTGACCTCACCTCCATACCCAGGAATCCTCAAGTCCCACAGCCCAGCTCCCTGCGGCCTGACACCCCGACTCCCTTCAGTGCTCCTCTGATCCCGTCACACACTGCCCCTCAGAACCGGACGGGCAGGGACCCTCCTCTCAGAGCCCAAACCCAGCCTCGTCTGCCCACACCCACCCGCGGTTCAGCCCCCGACCCCCCAGGGTGCCCCTCCCTCCCAGCAGGGTCAGGGCTCCCAGCACCTGCAGGTCCCGGTCCTCCCTCCGGGCCCTCCGCTCACTCTGGCAGCCCCAAGGCCGCCTCCCACAGGGCCGGGGACGGGCGGTCTCTGCCTGGGCGCCATGTCAGGGCCGGGGCGGAGGGCGGGCGGGCAGCTGACTCCATGGGGATCTACGGCCAGCCCTCTGGGTCCGACCCCGAAGGCCCCACGGAGGCCAGAGTGGGCAGGCCTCGTCCCCAGGCCGAAGCAAAGGGCCAGCACTCCCGGCCACAACCAACCGAGGCCCCGTCCCAGCCCTGCAGGCCACAGCGCCCGCTCATGGGACCAGGGGCCTCGCCTGGTCTCTCCTGGGGCCTCAGAGACAGTCAGAGGGCACGTGGGCCATTAAAAGTCAGGATGGCCAAAACCGGTTTGGCTCAGTGGTAGAGCGTCTGTCTGTGGACTGAAAGGTCCCAGGTTCGATTCCAGTCAAGGGCATGTACCTTGGTTGCAGGCACATCCCCGGTAGGGGGTGTACAAGAGGCAGCTGGTCGATGTTTCTCTCTCATCAACTTTTCTAGCTCTCTCTCTCTCTCCCTTCCTCTGTAAAAAAATCAATAAAATATATTAACATATATGGTGATATATTACATATTAAAAAAAAAAAACAACAGAGTCAGGACAGGGCGAGAGACCAGGGCGGCCAGGAGGGAGCGACCAGCCGGAGAGCCAGCCAGGTGGACTGGGGTGTCCGGGGTCAGTGAGCCCCGTCTTCTCCAACGGGGAGGAAGCCGAGCTGGGGGACACCAGATCCCACCTGACAGGGCGACGGGGAGCCTCCGGCCGGGCTGCCCGCCCCCCCCCAGTATCCCCATCGCCGCCCCCGACCCAGGGCAGCAAGGCTGCTCCGGAGGAGGCATCGCACCCGGCGGGACCCCAAAAGAAGCAGCCGGGAGGTCAGGGCACTCTCCTGACCCCAAACTGCGAGCCTGGGGTCAGGGGCCACTCTGTCCCTGTGGGGCTCCCCAGGGCCGGCCAGACGGGGACAGCACAGACCAGCTCCGGCCTCAGGACACACAGAGCCACGGGAGCTGGCCCTGCAGGCCTCACACTCCTAAGACCTCACTGCACCCTGTCCCACCCCCGTGCCGCCCGCACACCTCTGATCCAACCCTGCCCCTGCCGTCTTCCCCAGGAGGCGTCTGCCTGCTCCCCTCTGGGTGCCCATGGCCCACGCTGCTGCTGGGAGGTGTGGACCAGGCCCAGGACGGTGAGGCCACGGCCTGGCCCCTGCACCAGAGGAACGTGGTCCCAGAGCAGCACCTGTGAACCAGGAGGTCCTGTCAGGACACATGCCAGGCTGCAGGCTCCACCCCAGGGTGCAGAAGGCGGCCGATCAATGATTTGCTCGCTCTCCCCCTCGCCCTCCCTCTCGGGAATCAATAAAAACATATTAATAAAAAAGAGCAGGCGGATCCCAGAGGCCAGACCCCGCTGGCGGTGAGCGTGGGGAGAGAGGGGTGCAGGGGGTGACGCGGCCACCTGCCCATGGGGTCCCTGTGACCTTCGGCCACACCCCGAACCACGGCTGGAGGAAATGCTCCAGGGGACCCTCCGAGCCCCAGCTCCAGCTCTGAGAGAGGTTGGCACAGACCCTCAGGGGCCAGGGGTCAGGGATCCGGGATCAGGGGCCGGACCATGCCCCGGGAAGTGCCCAGGACCCACCATGCTCTGGGCCACCTGAGATGTGAAACCGCTCCCAGGCACCATGCAGGCACCAGCCAGGGCGACAGAGGCCATTGGACCCCCTGGGTCTGACCGGCGCCCAGGTCACACCACAGTGCAGTGGGCACCAGAGCCCTGTGCTCCCTGCCTCTCCAGGGTGCCAGGCTGCCAGGGCCAGGCCCACTGTGAGCGCCAGGGTGTCGGCACCAGGGCCAGGCGGGGTGAGCTAAGGCCGGGCTCCGTGCTCCTGGCCTAAGGTGCCCTCGGACACCGCTGCAGAATCAGGGCCTTAGGGACACCTGTGGGCCTGAGAGGCGGGGCAGGGACATGTGCCCCGCATTCTGGGGGTGGCTCTGGGTCAGCCTTAGGGTGCCCCTGGGGATGGGAACCGTTGAGATTGGAGGGCTCTCTGGAACAGCGGCAAAGGTCCCCACCCTCCCCAGCATCTCTCACACACGCCCCTGCCCAGGACGCAGACAGGCAGCACTGAGACTCCGGGTACAAAACTGTAAACGTGAGTCTTTAAAACGACAGAGGCCTCCTAGCCCCCAGCTCTGAGCCAGAGGCCCCAGGAGGGACCACAGGGACCAGACCTCCCCGCCTCTGTCTTCCCTCCCCTCCCAGGCCCGCGGGCAGGGGAGGGCCTTCCCCTCTGCACAGCACACCCGCGGCTACGGGGCGGGCTCCTGAGCGGGACGGAGCTGAGGTCCGGGGTCCGAGGGGTCCCTGAGATGAAACAGCAGCTGCAGGCCAGGCACTCCCAGCACCCGGCTGCGTGGGGAGCCCGCCCCACCCCTCCCATGCACACTGCGCACCCCACCAGCCAGTGTCTCCAGCCACCACCCCCCGCGCGGGTGTCTGGGGAGGGGGGAGGAGGGGTGCGGGCGGGTGGGCGGGCAGGCCCTGTCACGTGTCCAGCGCGTCGCGCGTGGGCGAGGGCGCGCGGGGGCGGCCGGGCGGGCCGTGCGGGGGAAGCGGCCCGGAGTGGCGCCGCTGCTGCGAGGTCGGCGGCGGCTGCAGCTCCAGCTGGAGCGCGGGCGGCGGGAAGTCGCGCACCTGGCGGCGGTACTCCAGGAAGGTGCAGGCCTTGGTGGCCAGCGCCACCACGTTCTTGCCCACGAAGATGGCCGAGACGCGGCTGTCGCGGGAGAGCGCCAGGCTGGCGGCGCGCGCCAGCACGGCCGCCACGTTGACGGTGGCGAGGCTGAGCACGGGGTAGAGCATCATCTTCTGCGGCGCCACGTGCTCGCCCTGCATGCTGAGCTCGCTGAGCGCCACGCAGGGCAGCACGAGCAGCAGCATGTAGCAGTAGAAGAAGGTGAGGCCCTCGGCCCACAGCGGCAGGCCGGTGCGCGGCGGCTCCCACAGGCCGGCCTGCATGTCCAGCAGGTCCAGCAGGTCCAGCGCCACCCAGAAGAGGCGGCCGCGCAGGTCCTCGCGCTTGCGGAAGGTGCGCACGTAGGCCATGCGGTCGAGCGCCACGAGCAGCAGGAAGAGGCCGGGCACGCACACGGACAGCAGCAGCGTGAGCGCCTTGCGCGCCACCGGGTCGGCCGCGCCGCGCCGCGCCGCCTTGTAGTTCTGGAAGACGAAGTAGAGCTTGATCTGCAGCACGAAGACGTAGAGGAACCAGAGGACCATGGCGTAGCCGCGCCGGGCCGTGCGCACCTCGGCGCCCACCCACACGGCCACGTAGCGCAGCACCAGCAGGAAGCACGCGTCGCCCACCAGCACGATGATGCACACGCCGATCTTGCGCGGGCCCTGGCTCTGCTGCACCAGGTAGGCGTCCATGACCGCCATGCTGCCCACGATCACCAGCGTGGTCAGGCACACGTGCCGCCGGTCCGGGGGCGGCAGCACCATGGCGGGCCCCCGCGGGAGGCGAGGCGGGGCGCGGCCCAGCGGCAGCGGCGGCGGCGCTCAGCCCGCGGGCATGGCGCCGCCGCGGGGCCCGTCCAGCCGCCCCGAGGGCGCCACGGCTCCCGGCCCGCGAGCTCGGAACCTGGGGAGACGGGAGAGGAGAGGTCAGAACGCGGCGGGGGGGGCCCGCTCCCCCTCCCGCCGCCCCCCGCCCCGCGCCCTCGGCGGCTCGCGCGCCCATGCGCGTCCCGGCCGGAGGCGCCGCAGGCCCCCAGGGGGCGCTGCAGCCCCGGCGGAGCCCCGCGCGCTGCCTCCCGCCTCCGCCCGCGGGAAACGGAGCGGAAGTGGCTCCTCCGCGCCGCGTGCGCGCGTCCCCCGGGCCGGCGGGTCATCCCCGCGGAGCCCACGCCGCCCCCGCCGGCTCAGGCCCCGCCCGAGGCCGTGCCCGCGGGGCCGGGGCGTCCTCTGTCCCCTGCGCCCGGCGGGCCTGCGCCCTGGGGGTGGGGAGGCGGGAGGCGCCTCCTGGGAGCGGGTTTCTGGTCCAGGGCCGAGAGGCGCCCAAGCACCGAGGTTCCATCCCACACGCCCCTGCCGGCCTGCATCCTCCCTGCCCGGCCGGCCGGTCTCCCCGCGGCAGGAGGACCGTTCTCTCCGCAGGGAGGCGGCGCCCCGGCCACAGCCCCTGCCCCTGGCCCGGCCAGCACCCCGCTGCCTGCGCCCCGTGGAGCGGCCCGCACCCCTGCCCCCGCACCTTCACGCGGGACCCAGGCAGCCCCCGGGCCGCGCCCGCCTGGGCCGGTCCCATGGGGCCCGCAGCCCGGGCCTCCGCCCCCGGGCACCAGCGGCTGTGGCTGCGCGGGCAGAGCCCCGCACCGGGCCGGGGTCGCACCCCTCACCCTCCCGAGCCCTCGCCTCCCGCCGGCCCCCGCCTCCGCGGCCGCCCAGGCGCTGGCCTGTCGGCCTGGACGGGGACACACTGAGGCCACCGGGCGGAGCAAGGCTGGGCCCTCACTGACGGGGGACCCCCGGGCCCCGCCTCTCCGCTCGCACCTGCAGCAGCGGGTGCGGCTCTCCCACCGACACACCCCTCTCACCCCGCAGGGCCCGGGGGCCCCCACACGCACCCCGGCCTCTGGCGGCGGCGGCCTGGCCTCTCCTCCCGCGGCCAGAGGGCCCTCCTGCCCCCAGAACCCCGGCCCCGCACCCCGCCCCGCGGCCACGCCAAACCGAGCGGGACCCCCACCCCGGCGGGGCCCGAAGCCGCCGGTCCCCGGCCCAGCCCGGAGGGCCTGCACCCCCGCGGCCGCCCGGCCTCCCGCCCGCCGGGTCCCCCCGCGCCCTCCGCCCCCAACTCACTGACGGCCCCGCGCTCTGCTCCCCGGAACCGGCCTCTGTGCCCGGGACCGGCGGGGGCGGGGAGACCAGGCTGCCGCCCGACAGCCCCCACCAGGCCGCGGGCCGCGGCGGGGCCGGGCCGCTCCCGCAGGCTGCGCCCCGCGGCTGCGCCCAGGCCTCCCGCCCGCGCCCCGCCGCCCCCGCCCTG